TCCATGAGTTCCATCAATTGAACACTTTCTCTGTCAGTCGTTTCAAACATACTTGTGCCCATCATGAAATTATGGATGACCTTCAAACCCTTTGGCTTGAAATGGATTTCCCTGTGCAGAAAAACAAAGGGACGAAACCTGCATAATATATTCACATTTTCGTGTTCAAAGCCGTCGAGTGTGTCGTAGATTTTGTAGCTTTCGTTTTCAGGCAATCGGTTAACACCTCGCGATAAAAGGGAACAAGAATATACGCATTGATTTATACGAAATTTCGTGATGAATAATAAGATTGACATTAAAATAGTTTCAACCAGAATTGTTTTAATGTATTTTTCTGGATTAAATTTAGTACCAGGAAGCTCTATTTTCGCTTAGCAGAATTTTACTCTTGCTTGCTTTAGATGAACGAAATGCTTTCTTTCCGAACGGAGGTGAATTTTCTTGACGGAAAAATTGAAAAAAAAATCGAAAGTTTTGGTGCTACAACATTTTTGAATAAGTTTGAAACCTCGTAAAATTAGCACAAATCTGCAGTAATCTTTTTAAAAGTTTGATATGATCATCGAGTTCAACATACAACTTATGTCAAAAAATATTCAACCCTCGTTTTGAAATTCAAATTATTTCCATGAAGCCCTGCTGCTCATCTACCGCCAACCAAAATTGTGTTCTTGCTAGCTTAAAATGATTTCCTTTCTATCTGAAAGCGACATTTCTCGGGAAAATTGGCAGAAAACGAACCGTTGTGGTGCTTCGACACTTTCGAGCAAGTTGAAAACAGGAGCCATGTTCTCAGAAATGTCGACTTCCGGTTCCTTGTCAAGATCGAAATTCAAAGCAGCAGCAACGATGCGTCCTTCTCTTCTGACGACAAAGCTACAAAAAAAGGAATAGTTAGCTCAATTCAGTCCACAAACTTGATACAAATTCAAATCCTGAAATGTGCAGAAAAATGCGTTAAAATTTGCATTATTGAATGAAATGCTACCTCAACTTTTGGCCGACCAGCTCGGGCCAAAGCGGTTGCAGGACATTGAAATACTCGTATTCGGTCAAGTTCGGCAAGCATTTTTCGAGATCTCCTTTAGCAAAGAAACTCTCCGAAATCAGTCTGAAAAAAAATTTTGGCCGACCAGCTCGGGCCAAAGCGGTTGCAGGACATTGAAATACTCGTATTCGGTCAAGTTCGGCAAGCATTTTTCGAGATCTCCTTTAGCAAAGAAACTCTCCGAAATCAGTCTGAAAAAAAATAATGATATAAAGTGAAATACGCATCCAATTTTGTTTCAGCTAGCGTTTTGTTTTTCGATCGATGCATTATTTCGGATGTACAGTACTTGGAAACCATGGCCCAATCATCGTCTGCTAAAGGACTGATTCGATAAGGACTTCCGAGGGCATCCGAGGCAATTGGAAGCATACTTTTTGCAGACGTAACATCATTTGTTAAGCTCTTGTTCCGAAGGCTTATTTCGGCAGATTGACAATTCAGGCTTCTTTGTCGAGCGTATTCTGCAACTTGTCTCAAATCGGTTGCAGCGAGAAACTCAGAGATTCCTGAATAATAAAAATTAAGCCCATACATTAAAACAGCAGTTTTTTCGTTTTAACACAGCCTCATTTTCAAGATACAGTATATATACTGTACATATATAGTTTGTTTGCAGTTTTTTTTAAATTTTGTACATACTTTTTTTTTTAAACAGCGGCCTATAAACATGAATAATTTACATTGTTTGCAGTCAAACTCAGAGAGACCCACGAGAGCAGTTTTTGAGTCAGGGGAAAATGAAGAATGACGGTGAATTTTGGAAAAAAATTCTATTTTGGGCTTGGTTAAAGAATTAACGGGATACTGAACTTGGACATAGGGGTCCATTTTCTCAATCAGTCACTCACAATTTAAAAAAGCATCAAGTTACATTTCCAGAATAATTGCCCAAAGGTTTCTAGAAATTCGAGGCATATATATAGGTTTCATCAGGGAGAAAGTCTTTGAGTAGGAGAGTACATTGTTCTCAAGGAAAATCAGATGTGGACTAGTCAAAAAATTCTGAATGAAGAGGGTTTTTGGTTTAAGAAGCTTGTTTGAGTTGACAATGTTAAGCTGTACTTATGGGAAATCCTGCGTCTCGAAGGCTGAGACAAGCAGCAACAGCATTCAGAGAATTTCCTCCAATGTGAAAAAAGTTGTCACTGGCTTTCAAGGCACGGTGTGCTACTACTGCTCCCAAACTTCTCTTGACGACGTTAACCACAGTTTTCAATACAGGATCGTTTTCAGCATCGTCCATATCGAAGGATTCATCCAGACCTTTTTTCGCCTCTTGATGCAATGGTTTTGGAGGAACTGGGAACGAAATAAAATAAGAGTACAAGCAGAGCGCAAAAATGACACGCATAATAATCTACTAAATTTTTCGTAAGTTCGGTGGAGGATTAAAGATGATAGAACAAATTGTACTGTTTTTTTTTATGGCATAATATGTATTTTTGTCCATTTGCTTGTCTTTCGTTGTGAGAACAGGTGGGATTCATTACAAAAAGAGCTCATCAGTCAACTCGCAACTAATGCTGAATTTTAATAAGAATAGGTAAAAAAAAATTTCGTCACCGAATTAGTGGTGTTGCCATTTATCAAAAAGTGAGTGCGAATTCCAACTATTTGCCTGTTATATTAACTTGCTATTATTGTACAATATATATGATGTAAACAACAATTTCATTGCCTTCCATTCAGAATTCATAATTTCAAAATGTCACTTAACAGCGCCTTACTTTGTTTTCATGAATATCTTTATAGTACAGTGCACCACAAGGAAATAAAAATATTCGATCCCCGTCGAATGCAACGTACTACTTCATAAGATTCTTAAATGCATAAGATCATGTTTACATCGCGGAAACAAATTCAAAACCTGATTTTTTAAATGATGAGCTGAGAAAGGGATAATTTGTTATTTTTCCTGCTTTCTGCTTCTACAGTTCAGCTCGTGCAAAAAAAAACCCGAAAAGAAGCAAAAAATAATCGTAACTTGAGAAGTTTAAAAAGACATAAACTAATAAAGTGTAATCAGTTCGTCGTCATTTTGATGCATACTCAAAATGGTGAAGCATTAAAACTTTGAAAGCAGGAGGATTATACAGTACTAAAGAGACAAGGAATGATTCTGAAAAATTGAGCCAGATAAAAACCACCTTCCAAAAGTTTCAAGGCAAGATGGCGATGAACCCGCCCAATTCCGAAATGCAATTTATCCCCATCATCGAAGTTTTTACATTGTGTTATTTATGCATTACAGTACTTTCTCCTTCGGAAAATCAGGGGATCTGTTCATGCAAATTTAAAATAACAACAATTTGAAAAAATCTCAAAATGGGGAACTCAACTAATTTGTAAATATATTCTGACTCCGAAGAATCTGTGCGGAATTTTTCTGTTGGCAATGTTGCTGCCCTGAAAAGGGGGGCAACACATGAGCTTGAAACTCAATAGGCACGTCCTGGGACGCGCCAAAAAACAAGAGGAAGAAAATCCCCTAACTGGGGTGAAGCAAGATGAGGCAGTCATAAAATCCACAAAATTGAAAGAGAAGGAAAGAAAATCCCGACAACCAGGGTAATTT